GATGATCACTTTAATGTCTGAACTGAGCATGCGTGGAGAGTGCTCTGTGTGGGTACTCGGGTAAGAACTCACACTGACAAGGCCACTGCAGATAGAAGTCCTTAAAGGCAAATGTGCTGTTTGACAGATCCCGTCCTCCGTCTAGCTCTGTATCATGATTTATCATAACTAGCTTTGACTAGAGACATTTTGGTATGTGCATTTAGGAAGAGCAAGTGTTGAGGTTACTCTTAGCCTTGCCAAGGCCATGTAGCGTTGGGCAATTATTTATCTCGGAAACATCTTTAACCCTGAAGAGCTCCCATGGCATGGAACCGAAGTCCAAAAGTCTGGGGCCAAAAGTGCCTTTTCTCTCATCTCCAGGTTAGCAGCCAAGCTCTCAAGAGGTTACGCAGTGCTGTAACAGTGTTCTTGTACTGCCAGCGTCTGAGGAGCTGATGTTGTGTAAAGGTACCACCCTCAAGTTCGGCAAATTAGTATATGTTGGTGATGCTGTTATTCTTTCCTCGTTAGGTTTTGACACCCCACCCATCACCGTGGTGTCCCAAGCAGGGCCAACTCTGGCTTTTTGGCCGCCCCAAGCCAAAAAAAACCCCAAAACACCTGTGGCGCGGCCGGAGCGCGGGTGCAGGGGGACCGGCTGGGGGAGGGGTGGGATTCTCCGCGCCGGAGCGGAACAAGAACAAACAAACAAACAAACAAAAAAAGCGGCCGTGCTGCCCTAGGATTGGGCAGAATGCCGCCTCCAACACTCTGCCGCCCCAAGCACCAGCTTGCTCAGCTGGTGCCTGGAGCCGGCCCTGGTCCCAAGCGCATGTTCTGCACCCACACATAGGGTAACGTTTTTTTAATCTCTTGAAAACTGGCCAATTTTGTAAACATTTCACCTAAGTATAGGGGTCACCTTTCTATGAAAATCTCCCTAATCTCTAACTTCTCTTCTGAAACCATCAGGGTAGATCCTAAAGTAGGATGTATGGTGTTCTATGTGGAAAAGCCAAACAAACTCATTGTTTGCTGTGTGTCACACCTCTCCTGCATTTTCCTTACAAGACAGGTCTCTGAGGGTGAGAAAGTCACCTGTCCGGTACATGCCAGTATCAGCACTCTGTGGCTCTCTCTGGTGTGCAGCAAAAGAAACAGGCTTTACAGTGGCTTGGGCCAGTCCTGGGTGAACATTGTGCCATGTATCTTTCCTTCCCCATGTGCAGATTTCCCAGCACTCCTTACTCAGAGCCCAGCCCTGCAGAACTTTACACTAAATCATGAAGTGGTATTTTGTTCATACAGGCAGTCTCACTGGAGCCAATGAAATAGCTTGCCTCAGCAAGGGCTAATCACATGAGTGAGAATGTGGCAAGTAGGGTGACGAGATGTCCCGATCTTTGGGGCTTTATCTTATATAGGTGCCTATTACCCCTCACCCCTTGTCCTGATTTTTCACACTTGCTATCTGGTCACCCGAGTTGTAAAGTTGGTTTTGTCACTGTTCTACATGGAGGTGAAGTCCCTTTGACAGCAGTGGGAGTTTTGCTGGAGTATGGGGTGCAGAATAGAGCTGTGACACCGCTTAAATAAAGGGGAGCAACACTCATTGCCTATATAATTCTTATAAATCCCACCAATGCAATCCTTCAGTAATGAAGCATGTGTTCCCCACCATCTGGAGAATCTTCCTGGAGCTTTGATGTGCCTCACGGTGTTTTTTCGCAAGCTTGACCCTTGTCAGCTTTAGGGTCTGGCAACTGGCATAAGTGGGCCTGGTGCCACCCAACGTACGTGCATAGTGCAAACCCTGCCAGAAAGTTAAAACAGACATTAGGGACCCGGACCCTCTGTGGTGAGGAGTGCAAGAGCGGAGAGGGAGCAGCACTTAACAGGAGCGGGCCTCAAATTTCAGTATTTGGTTTGTCAGATTCCCATTGAAAATCTCAGCTGGTGCAGTGCCGCATGCCTATGATTAAGGGGACATTGCAGCGAGACCTCTGCTCGGAGCTGGATTAACTTCAAAACCACTAAAAAAAAAAAAAAAAAAAGACCCCTTCTATGGCCATGTAAGGAGAGATTCTGGCTCTGGTGAATCAGGATTAGTGCTCTACAAAGGGAGGAGAAGACTATTATAGTGAAATCTAGACCCTGAGCAGCTCTCCATAGGAGGCACCCACAGATCTCTGCAAAGGAGAGTGGGGGCGGAGGGGGAGAGCATCTGTGGCCAGGCCAAGTTTGCAGAGGAAGCCAGATCACCGTAGCTGTACCCCAGAGCAGGTGTAAAACTTCCATTGAATAGAGCGCATGGAAATGTGTTGTCAGTATATGAAAGTAATATTCAATTTCAGCTTATTCATAATAAAATCAATAAATGCACTGGATTGCCCACTGGATCGATCAAGCTGATTAGCTTTTCCTGTGACCCCAAGCAGACAGGAGCAGGGGTGGTATGACTGAGATGAAATAATGTAAATTCTCTCACCTCTTTTGCTATTTGCATGAACATTTTTCCTCCACCTTTACAGTGCGTTTTAATTACAAGTGTTTTTGGCCTCTGTAAACTGTATCTATATAAGGATAGTCTATTTGAAACTGTATTTAGCAGCTGCTTGTAGACATGCATTGATGAGCAAATATGACATGTAGTCACACACACACACATGCTAAAAATAATAAATTTTAAAAATCCAAACTAAAAAATGCATGTAATGAGACCGAAAAATCCCAGTGTTTTCTTTATCATGCCCATGTGTAATTTTAACATGAAGTATTATGTAGTAGTCTGTTCTGGCCCTACTCTGCGTAAGCAGATCACATAAGCTCATCTGCATAGTAAACTCAGTGTTGAAGAAATTAAATCTGAAATGGTTAGTGTTTCTCTGTAGTGAATGTGTGGTGGGGAGGGTTTATGGAATGGGTTTACCTGAATTTTCTACGTTTAGTTTAATAAGAAAGAGAATGATTCTATTTAAAAGCAAAACAGCACGGTAAAATGATCAAAGTCATTGGGCCTTATGGTGCGTTTTTTAATCAGGTAAAACTCTCATTGACCCTTGAGGAATGAGGGATAGGGTACGGCCGTGTGTCTCTAGCGGTTAAATCCACTGACTGTTGTCTAAGCACTTCTTTCTCCTAACAAGCTGCTCACTGAAATGTGCTGAGAGGAACAAGGTAACTCAGAAAGTACTGCAAATGCTACAGCTGTCTCTCTCCGGTGCTGAAAGAAACTCTGAAAGTCCATTTTTGGGACAGAGGTAGCATGGCTATAATACTGGCTAACGCTTTCTAGGGGGATGCTCATTGGGCTAGCCCTCGGGATAGGAGCAAAATGTCCACAAACACGGGCAATATCTTCTTGTGGGAGGATTCCACCTACTTTCTGGACTGTGCTCACCCCACACTAGTTTAGAAAGGTCTCAGGAAAATAGGATACAGTGTTGTGGTGTTTAAAAATTAACTAATCAGGCTTAACCCGCTTCAGTTTACAGTGGGAAAAATGGCAATTTTTAAAAAGGATGAAGCCTCTTTGTGAATAGGGACCTTGGAGGGTAAATACAGGACTGAAACCCAAGAATCTTAATTTTGCCTCAAATTTTGGCGATACTGTTTCTATAGAGACCAAAAGGAAGCTTTGGCTCCCCCACTCAGCTATTAAAGTTTAGTGCATTGAAAACTGTCTTCATGCTGTGATACCCTTTCAAGGAGTAGAATAGGGTCTGAGCTAATCCATGAAAGTTGTCATGCTATGAACTAGTAGTCAAGCTTTTTCCTTTCAATTGAGTCTAAAACTATACTGTACTTCACACTTGATTGGCCCTTCAGATGGCAGGACTCAATATCCCTGCTGGAAATAAGCTCGTCTTCACACAGTGATGTTGAACGTGGAAAGATCTTGTTTCTATGGCATAATTACTGGCTCTACGATATGCAAGTCATAAGGAAAAGATTTTTTGAAAAATTTGTCTAACTATATAAATCAAACTTTTTAAAATGCAAATTTAGCAAGATTTTCAGTTTGCCTGTCTCAGTGACACTGGCGTGCTGTCTGCCAAGAGACTATGGACCTAATCAAACATTCCTACCAACTTAAGAGGCTTTTTTTTCTCAGTGTTACATGCATAAATATAGCAAGGGAAAGCTATCATCTGAATACAAGCCTCTGCTTTATCCCATTGAGTGTACTGTAGCAAAGGTAATGAATGGGTCATTTTATTTACCATCAGAGCTATCAAGATAACGGTATCAAGCAAAAGTCTGTACTATGGCAATTTTTATAATGGAAAACACTGCTTCCTTTGACCTTCAGGCTGCTAGTTTTGTTTGTTTTCACATGGGATAGATCAGTAGCTGGTAACTGTGAGATATAACAACAGGTGGAGTAGCCAGCAACAGTCTAAATTAAGACTTCACAAGTTAAGCACTAATGTATTTTTATTAATAATTTTTTAAAATGGAAAGATGCCTTGAGCTATGCAGACCAAAAGGGGGCACCAGGGTATTAAAAAAAGTTATGGTGCTTTTGGTAGTTAACAAATATAAAATTAAACATAGCTGATACTCTTTTTTGTTTTTTTCCCTGGTGTATTTAGTGAATGAAAAAGAGTGATTCTCCTCAAAAGTGGGGTGAATTTCCAGTGTTTTCAAAACACCAACAAAACACATTGATTCAAAGAATCAATGTATGTATTTGGGTGGGGTTTTTTTAATATTCTGCAAGTTTTTAAATGCAGAAATTTGGAGTTTATTTTTTCGTTTTTGATAAAATGTTGCATTTTCCTCAAAATCATTTTCATAACAGTTTGTTTAATACATTTTAAAATCTTATCAGCATGAACTCTCTTTTCTTTATCATTCAAGATTTGACCCTGCCAACACTTTTAAATGTAAGTTTCCTTTTTGCTAGATTAACCACTTACTCAGTGTAACAGGATCTCTCTTTACTGGGGTGTGTTTTGAAGCTGAATCAATCAGTATGGTACATTTCCTATGGCATAGTTAGCACAAAGTCTACATTCGAAAAGGCAGCATTTATTGCAAATAGAGGCTAATTTATAGATTATACAGACAACAGCAGCAGTCAGCGCAAGGCACAGACTTTAGAAGAAATTGTACACTTTGAATAGTATGACATGAAAAGTATTCATTCTTATGTTGTGGTGAGGTAAGAATTAAGTAGCATAGGACACATTCTATATACATACATTTGCAATCATCAGACTATAGACAGATTTGTTTAAAAGTCGTCTTTGTGTGAATTAATATGACATAGGTAGTGTGCAGATTAATTGTGTTTCTTGGTTGTTGGTTTTTTTTGCTTCCTTAAATTATACACGTTTTTATTATGCATAACATATAAATCTTAAATTTGAAAAAAGCTAAGTATGTCTACTTGTTAAGCATGAATCAGACTGTTAGAACTATTTTGCCTATACCAATCATTGCTTTTTTTATTTGTATTTTTTGTAGCTATGTTAGTTTAAACATCCTTTCAGAAAATTGGCAAATTCAATTATTTTTAACACCAAATTTGAACAAGTTTGTTTCCCTTATTTTCTGACACCTATTTTATTGGATTTTAAATTAGAATTTAAAAGATGAACATGAAGATTTCTCAAGCATTTGACATAATGTTTTATAGTTTAATTTGTATCTGGACCCAAGCTTTATTTTTAGTTTTGTTATGAAATCCTTATTTATTGGACCATATACTATGTAATGTCAGGCATCTGACTAGCTGTTGTTACAGTAATAATTATGATGCATGTAGCTAATTACTTTGTGTAATCTGGAGAACTAGATTATTTTTTAAATTGTTTATATTTATTTAAAATTTATGGATTTCAACAATAATATTAAATTCCAGTTATCAAAATGCAATTGTTCATATAAATACAATACTTGTAGTTTTATTTTGAAATGTAACCAATTTTATATTTAAAAGGGTAAATATCACATGGATATCTTCTGATTTACTTGAAATAAAGATATAGTGGCATTATGGAATCCATACCATTTATTGTCAATGCTTTATGAAAATTGGAGTACACTAAAATCTAATTGTGATTTAAGGAATGGCATTTGGATCATGTCAGTTATTTTGCAAGAAATGTAAACAAATGCCATTTTGTTAGATCACACTTCGAAAGAATGTACGTTCATACATAAATATAAATGAATGAATTATGAGTATTGAGTTACATAAAAACTATTTTGAATAATTTAGTTGAAAAAACTGCAAATATTCTGTTCCGAGAAAAATATATAGTTGGTGCAGTTTTTTTTCAGAATTCATTTATTCCATGTTCAATGTCCTGCACTCTTTATATTTCTACAAAGTGCAGTTCAACTGTATATTCTGTGAAAAATAATCACTGAAAAGCGGTATAATTAACTTGTCCTATTAATATGATTTCTTTAAAAAAAATTCTGTAACATGCTCACTCTTTCTGCACTGCACAGTTAATCCTATACTGTGCTCTATAGTCATGTGGATTTATTTTTTTTGTTTACAAAAGGGTAACAATGTTCATCAAATTAATTGCTGGACATTTAAAAATAGAGAGGTCTGGAAACCCACACAACTTTGGTTCCTAGAACATAAATTTCCTCAATCAGAGTATATAGAAGGCTAGTTTCTCACATTAAACTGTAATTCTATAATTAGTGACATTTTGCCTTGGGGTAAAAGCATATTTGTGCAATTTTAAAACATATATTTTGCTATTTTTATATGCAACACAAGAGCAGGGAAATAAAAGAAACAAAGAAAATTCCTCAGTGTTGTAAATGTATCATGCGTCACTTAAATACAAAACAAGACTTAGCTTCTTAATTTCATGACTCAAGAGGACAAATTCTGCTCTCTGTTGCATTTGTGAAATCCATATTGAAATTAATTAGGGCTTCATAGGTGTTATTCAAGGCAAAATTTAATGTCAATTATTTTTCCTTGCTTTATATTTTTTCTACATAGCCAATTTATTAATGTTTGAAATTTGGCTGCTGCACGTGCTCAGTGACTTAGCTTGTTTTCTTAACCCACATCCGTGTACTGTGTAAGCATAAGTAAGGTCTCCGTATCATGTAATATCACCACTCTGGACTCTCTACTTCATAAATGTAGAGTCACTATAACCGGAATTTCCATTTGCTTGTTGCACTGTGGAGGAGAAAAAAAAAAACATGCTCATTCTACTTCACTGTAATTGCAGTTTCTCTTTATCCAACTTGGCTGTAAGTGGACGTTAGTGAGTGAAGTTCTTGCTGATTTCGATATTATATACTGTATAAATGAGGATGTGGGTCCACCCCAGGCCATTTAAAAAACCCAACAAGCTAAAAGCAAACAATTTCAAACTCTTGTTAAAAAATAAAGCCTCAAGTTGCTGTAAGCCTGTGATGGTATCATAAGAATCTGTGAATAGTAAGTGAACACTTTTTAAAACCTGGGAAGTAGATCTTTTCAATGTTGATACAGGTTATATTTTCATGCCTCCATAATACTGATTTTGTCTCTCTTTAATGCTAGCATAAAATAAGGAAACAGAATCTCCAGAACAATTCTGTTTCTCTTCTTCAACCCACAAAACCCAAGACTTTGGAAGTTAAGGCAGAAACTCAAAAAAGTGACTGATCTTGCAAATCACACAAGGTGTAGTGTTATAGCACACACCTTAACTCAAGTTAAAGATGGATTTCTTTCCCTTTGCCTGTTTAAATCAGATGCCTGATACCATTTCAATGTAACGTTTCATGTATAACAGTTGATTTGTAATAGTCTTATTACATACAGCACCTGAAGATGAGGATTATGATGTGATAAAATCAGTACTTTTAATTAACTGTAGAGTTTTGGATGCCTCATTACCTACTCATAGAGGAGACCTTTTATATATCACCAGCATCCATTTGCAGAAGTAAAGGACCTCAAATTTAAGACATGAATTAAAAAAACCCAAACTAATAGGGTACTCTGAAGCAGACAAATTAAACACACTACAGTGGAACAGGTTTAATGCTGCTCTGCATAATTAGAGAATTAAATGTGCATAGATAGAGTTTTACTATATTACTTAACACTGATTAACCTAATGTTGATACAGAATAAGTGATAAAAATGGGTAATTGCCAGGTGATTAGGACTCAAGACCTAACTGTAGGACCAAGACCTAACGGCTTTAAAGATATTTTGTCAAAATGGACTCATAGAGGAAAAAAAATGACATTCCATCCCGTTTCTTGCTCTTGAACTATCTAAATTAAATGCAGAGATTCTTTCACATTGCACACTGTTTTTGCTCATTTGACATTTAATACTGTGTTATCAGCACTGCTCATCTTAGATGAGATACAGAAGGAAAACACCCGATTTGAGTGCGATAAAAATTTAGCTAATCCAATAGCTGTATAAGTTCTTAAGGCATGAGTCAGAAAAAAAAACGTGCTCACTTTATACACTGTAAAATGCAGAGAGAACCCTAAAAATTTGGCTTATGTGGATGTGTGTAATATTAAAGTGAGTGGCATTTGGGCCAGAACTGGGGCTCCTAATGTTTTGTACATATTGGAAAGGCTCTTCTTTCAGTAACTTGCCTTTCATAATAAACCCAGATATAAAATGGATTTTTCTCTATAAAAATTATAATTCGTTTTGAATAAAAACTATATTTGAAAAGTTTATTGAAAGCTACTTCGTTCTACTGTTTTTATTCTTTTCACCATGGCTGACATGCTAGTGCATTCAATAAATATCATGTTATTGTATGTTTGAAGTTTGCAACTAAAACCTTTTATTTTTAATCTCTAATTAAATCCAGTAGGAAGTACTTCCTGAATGGCCGAGACCTTTCACACTCTGTTACCTAATTCTTTGCAGGTGATTTTTTTTTGGTTCTGTGAAATGCTAGCCATAGCAAAAACTGTTAAACTCCATAACATGCAAATGTTATCTGACAACTAGTAGACACTGAAATGCGGTGGTAAGTAAAGAAATTTGTCAGCTAGAATATGTGCAGAAACAATATTAATTTTAGATTTTCATTCCCCAAAATCAATTTGAGGTGTTAAATGCTAACTAATAATTTTCTAGTAATGCATAAAAATATTCTAATACTCATATAAATAATTTCTATAAAGTTATTTTGTCCTTTTATTTCACAATTCATAAAACATTAATAAAAAGATATTGACAGCACTCAATAAATACTGAAATATCAGAGATTGCTACTATATTTACATCTACTAACCATGTTATATTTGTATCCTCTTCTTAATTGTCTAATAGGGGGCTTTTTTCGTTCTTTAAAGACTGCTAACTCTTAGAAAATGCTGGAGATCAAGACAAAGTAATATTACACAAAAGGGAAAGAGGGGGATTGTAGATCCCCTCCCCCCCCCACACACACACATTCAAATAAGTCACACACCAGGCCAAAGTTCCAAATATCTTCTTTTTTTAAGTGCACACACTGAAGTCCAGACGAAAGGGCAGCAAATCATGTAAACTACAACACACTAACAATGGAAAACACCCAACTCACAAGAATGCCTTTTCTCTCCCAAAGAAGAATCGGCCCCTCACCTCAAAATGCTTTGCTATAAAAAAGGACTTTCCCAGGCGAAATAACATACTTACATTGGAAGGAGCCTTTTATAGTGTGGCTGTTTTTGTAGTTAATTTAAAAAGTGGCCCTTCTTTTTCCTCCCTGCAGAATAAAACAATGTAAAGAAATAGAAATGACACTGCAATGACTTGGCTTTTCTTGCCCACCTCTTCTTATGTGAAGAATTCATTTGATACATGAGGTCTATATCTCTGTGCTGGTATCTACGATTTAAATCAGTTTCAATTTTCTTTAGAGCTATATAGTGAGATATTTCCTGTAGGTTTTAATAATGCCAGTTGAAACGCAAACAACTCAGTGAGCCAATTAAAACCATATTTCTTTCAATACAATAAATGTAAAAACAAATAAAATCAATTAGTATTACACAGAAATTTTTAATGCTAATGAAATATCATTTTGGGATCAACAAAGGGTGAGATTTTTAAATCATTGATTTATCATCTATTTTTTTTAAAAAGTGATAGATTAAAAAAAGGAGAATTCATTGTATTTTGGATAGAAGATACTATTTTTATTTTAAGGCTGACATCTAAATGAATGAAGTGACTTTTGTTTAATTTAGTATTGGTATTTTTCCTCTCTCCTCCCTCATATATGCATACAGTTTACACAAATACACATCAGCGTATGCGTTGCTAAACCTTTGAAGTTTTTAGCGATCTATCTGATTCATATAGCTTACTATCTCTCAGCCAACTCTTGTCATTTTAGCCACGAAAACCCCATTCATGATGTTTGCCACTATATTGTTTGCTATTAAGGCCCTGATCCTGCAAAGATATAACACATGCTGAACTTGATGCATTGTCATCTCTTTTGAGATTTGCTGATGAAAAGTGTGATATAAGAGCTAGGTGTTATGATGATGAGTAATCTCAGGCACTGCAATGGGACTATTCGCAGTGAAGAGTGTGTAAATCTTTGCAGGATCAGGGCACTAAATGAGGTAAAATGAGCTACACAATGCATGTATAGCCACAGTGTTCGTGGAGAGGTTCATATATTCTTAAACCCAGGGTCAACCCTAGGCATCTCTGAAGAGTCCTGTCACATGGGGTTCTGCTTTTTCAACACCCAGACCCAGTGGCCCATTGTCACCTCCACACACACCTTGAAAGATGAACCTCATGAGACCACTCTGCTTGTTCCCTTTTAGCCCTTCCAACCTCCCTCTCCTCATGGCTCCCAGAGCGCCCCCATTATTAAAACCCTCCTGGAACCCTTCTGACACCCAAAGTGTCTCCTGACCAATACACATGCCAACTTCTGTGCCCCTCTACCCCCACCGGTTGTGCTAAGCATTTGTGGGAAGTCTGCCACATGGGCAGCATGTCTTATTTCACTCAGGGCTCCCTCTTTGCACACGATTACTGCACAATTATATGAATCATTATAACTTTATCCCCTTGTATTACTTAATTTCAGTGCAGTTAAGATCAATAAACTTACACTCAACACTGGAAATAAACAAGCATTCCCCAGAGCTTGGAGTGATACAGAGTAATGCTTCAGGGCCATATGCTTCCATTGATCTGTATGCAGAAGGAAGAGCGGAATACGGCTGTTAGCCTGCGCTGGAGTTTAAATTACGCTTGCATGCTTGCTTTCTTGCGCTGCTTTTTATCAGTTAGGAGGAGAATGTTTCCTTTTAAATTGTATCTACAGGATCATATGCTCCCCTCCCACATAAAACCATATGGAAGGTGACACTTACCAGAAAAGAGGCAGGATTCCAGTGTCGCCTCAGTTGTGTTCTCCAAGACAACATCGACCTGGCAGCTGTGAGCAAGGATGAGGGGAGCTGGCCAGCAGAACACATGCCCAGCCCTAGGCGCCACAGATACAGGAAGGCCAAATCCCACAACAGTCGAGCCTTATCTGCAAGGCCAGACTGCCATCCAGGCAGTATCTTTACAATGACCCATAGTTTTGAGTATTGCAAGTTTGGGGCCCTTTTTTCCATAGAGCCGCTTGTGTTCTGCAGTTCTATGCTCAAGAATCGAAGCGCTCATTTTTAACAATTAAGTTTCTAGCCCTTATGGTTGCGAAGAAAACCTTAAGAGTAACCAAATGAAAACCGATGCCGTGGAGCCTGCAGACAGCCTGGAACGCGAGCTGCTCTGCTCTGTTTATCTCAGTGAGATAATCCTGAAACCTAATGATAGCAATCTAAATGTCAACATTAACTATCTCACTGCTGCTTATTTTAGCAGAAACATCCAGCTAATACGTTTTGACAATTTGGGACAATGGGATAAAGTCCCAAATTGCCCCTGCCTACCTGTCCAACATCTAGCTTTGTCCTGATAACTTCAAAACCAAAGTTATGAGTTTCCAATACAGAAACTGGGGCTATAACAAACAAAACAACAACAAACTAAAATGCAGGGACAGTTTAAAATTGAAATTTAATATAAAAATAAATAACATGAAGAGCTGCTATATTGCTTATTTTCACACTTAGCCCATTAAAAAAACCCAGCTGACCAAAGGAAAAAAAATGAAGCTGCCACAGCATGTCCTGTCTGCAGCACCAGACCATTGCAGAATCGCTGTGGAGCATGTGGAGGCCTGGTTCTATCGCCTTACTGCAGAAGTAACTCTCCAATTGAAATGCACCAGTGATTTTATCATAGCAATGTGACGGTGAAGTCGCCAGAAAATTAAAAACATAAAATAATTTCCCCTGCTCTTCTTCATGCGCCTTTCCCTTTCTTCGCTTTTTAAACCAGTCTACAAAATGTGTTGTATGCAGGACTAGCCTCCTTATCGCAAAGAGGATATTTCAAAACTAATGGGGAACACAGAGAACGGCAACGCAAATGATTAGGAGCCTGGAGAATCTCTACTATATGGGGAGATCGAAAAAGTTGGGATTGTTTACCTTAAAAGGGAGACAGAGGTAACATGATAAAAGTATATAAAATAATGAATGGATAGCGCAGTGGTTCTCAATTAGAGGTACCCCTGAGGGCACGCAGAAGTCTTGCAGTGGGTACTTCAACTCATCTAGATATTTGCCTAGTTTTATGACAGGCTACACAAAAAGCAGTAGCGAAGTCAGTACAAACTAAAATTTCATACAGACAATGACTTGTTTATACTGCTTTATATACTATCCACTGAAATGAAAGTACAATCTTTATATTCCAATTGATTTATTTTATAATTATATAGTAAAAATGAGAAAGTAAGCAACAGACACTTCTGTATTTTTATGTCTGATTTTGTAAGCAAGTAGTTTTTTAAGTGAGGTAAAACTTGGGGGTACACAAGACAAATCAGTCTCCTGAAAGGGGTACAGTAGTCTGGAAAGGTTGAGAGCCATTGGGATAGAGGAGGTAGATGGTAGATCATGTTTCCCCTGCCTCAAAACCCAAGATCAAGGGGGCTTTCAATTAAATTAAAAAGTGGGAAATTCAAACCTGATGAAAAAAAAAAACTTTTTTACACAATGTGTAATTAGACTGTGGAACTCACCGCCACAGGATGTCAATAAGTGCAAAGCCTTAGTAAGATTCCAAGAGGGATTGGCCATTTATATGGAGTATTCAAAGTTAATGCAAAAGTAGGTTTGGAAGGGATAAAACCTCAGGTTCAGGGTTTAAATAAATCTCTAATTATTAAGGGTTGGGACGAGAACTTCCGGGGTGGGAGAATATCCCTCAGCTACCTGCTGTGGTGTTCTTACGCCTTCCTATGAAGCATCTGGCACTGACCAGTCTGTGACAGGATACTTGGCTAAAGGAACCTTGGGTCTATCCAGCCTGTCAGTGCCTGTGTAGTTTCTTTCCCGCAGAATTGTTGTCAGTCTTTGCTCTGTCTGTCTAACATTTCTTGACTGTTCAGAATTTTTTACTTGTCTTTTCTCCCCTTCCATTTCCCCAGTTATTTGCTCACTTCTTTCCCCATGTTCTTTAATCTCCCTCTCCATCCTTTCTGCTCCCTCAGCGTCTCTTAAACTGTCTCTTTCCTTCCTTTCTTTTCCTGGCCTCTTGCTCTCCCTCAGTTTATTTCTATGGTCTCCACAATCAGCTCTCACAGTCCAGGTTCTCATGCTGTCCACACCCAACCGGTCCCATTCCCCCCACTCCACTGCACATGCTCACAAAGCTCAGGCAGGGAGACGAGCCGCTCCTTTTCCTGCACCTCGTGGAGCTTCCAAAATGCATTGCTAGCATCTCACCGTGGCTTCCCTCCTCCTCGGTGGATTCCACCTCGGCTTCAGCATTTGCACATGCAGGCTTGTTTTGCATATTGGGAGGGAAGAAGGAAGGCTCAAGTTCAGTCTCACCCACCGCAGTAGGACACAGAGCCAGACAGGTCTTTCTCCCTCTGTGCAGTACGTATGCGTGTAGGGTGGCTGGGGCCAGGCCTGCGGCTCAGAGGCAGGCAGGGTTCTCTCCTCTGGTGGCTGCACTGAAAGGCTGTGGTGACTCTTATGCATCCCAAAGAGGTGGGACCAGCTCTGGTCTATCACAGAGACCAGCCTCCCCGCATATTCCTGCTTGTCCAGCAGCCTGTTCCAGGCTCGCTTGCAATGCGGTCCCCTACGACTGTGCTCTGTGCCTAGCACATGAACCTAGGGAATTCCATATGAAAGTGAGCACAGATTACATTCCACCGCACCCCCTGCAGGGAACAGAGCACCATTAACTTGCAGGGACCATCTCTGGTGCAATATACAGCCATATGTGACTGGGATATGCTGTGTAGAGCCCGTGTCCCCTAGTCCTGCAGGGGACATGGGCTCTACACATGCTCCCTTTCCATGCAGAGCTTGGCTTGCATGCAGTTGATGCAGAAGTGCTAGTGACAGTCGCATGGTGATATGGGATACTATGATGCAGCTGGTATTCCCCATATGGTAGCCATTAGCTATGAAGCCATATCTTTCTGCCTTGTATCTGAGGGCAGAACTGGGCCCAGGGTAAATGCCAGAAGCCAAATCCAGCAGTGTTTAGCAGGGCGAAGCTCCATTAGCCTGAGTTAGGAGTGCAGGATTTGGTGCCAGGAGTTCACGATTGGAATCACTTGGACCCTGAAGCAGGAGAATTGCAACACAGGTAATTACAGATGGAAGCATTCTGTGCTTTGAAGAGAGGAGGTTTGGCTATTGCTAGGGTAGTTTATTATTTTCCCTAACCTCTTCTCTCCCCCCCGCCCCAATCCCCCAGCTCAGTTTGTGGAAACATGGCCACTGCAGGCAATGTGCTGTCTGTGGGAATGCACTGAGTGAAGGAGGCACTGAGCATCAGAGCAAAGGCCAGGAGTTTTCACATGGGAGCCACTTCCTGTAAAAATCCATCCCCAATAAAATCCATGAGTTTGAGGGTGGAGGACAGAGCCCCCAGATTATACCACATGGGAGAGGAAGGAAGCCCCATCCACGAACAGAAGAATGCTATGCAAAGTTGCTGTCAAAACTCATGGAATTGCCATTACCCCTTCTGTGTCCTTCTCCCCCTTAGAGGAGAAGAAGAGGGCGGCTCTTTGTCTGTAGCATACAGATATAGTTCCCCTGACTCCTCCCACATTTCCACATGCCATACCCCCTTCCTTGGAGTTTGCAGATGTTTTGAAGATCTTCTGTGTAGGATGGTTTTGGGTTGTCAGTTGCTATGGTAGCCCACCCTGCAGGAGGGTTTAGCTTGTGTGTGTAGCTTAAAAGCCAGCTCTATAACAAATTGCTGTACTTTTCAGTGCACTAGCATGGAAATTTAGGGCCCCTGATAAGGGTTTTGCCCATATGTAATACTGTTAACAAATAGGGGTCTCTACTTTAAGCTTGTTTGTAGCTACTCTGTTTCATTCTGGCTTCCTGGTCATTTCCTTCGTGGATATAAACCAAACCAACACAGTGCCTGTTCTCTAGGGAATAAGCAATCTCTTTGTTGTACCATCAAGGTCCAAACATCTTGGCTGACCAATGTCTGATCAGAAAATACAATATACTGGGGGTATATTTTGTTATCTATTCCTGGCACAAAGTAGAAGTAGCTCAGCTAGACCGAACCTCACTCATTTACACTTTGCTAATCTGAACACTCCATAATTTACATACACAAAGCAGTGACTTCTCCCCATTTGTTAACGTGGACTAATAGCAGAACACTAGTGAGGCCTCTTATTACTAAGACTTCGGTACTTTTTCAAAGTATAGGACAGCTCGCTTACTGTTATACAGTACACTGGGAAGAATTATCAATGATTAAAACCAAGTGACACTTGTCAAAATAAATGAACAAAGTACGGTTTGAGAGGCAACATCCTCTCCCTCTTATTATGTGTCTTTGCCTTGCTAATTTGCAATGATCAGTAACTTGTAATGGAATTTCAAGGCATTAGTGCTACTTAGTGAGGTTCTGCTCCGTAGCATGGACTCCATCAGTGTGTATTTTGGAAGCAATTTCCATTCTGTTGTGTTCCGTTATACACTATTGATATTACATCTGTCGCAGATGTAATAAAACTTCATATACAGAGAGTGTAATCCACTCCTTGGTGTACACACCCAGACTCCCATATGGATTGTCACAAATCCATACGGTGTCTTGACACCTGGATTTTGCATTTGGATCTCTGATTTAACTGAACAATGTTTAAAATCATGGAGTTCCCTATGTGCCTAGTTCCCTTGACTATGCATCCAAGGTGGCACAGAAATGGAATTTATTTCATCAAGGTGTGGAATCAATTATGCTCCTGAAATATGCTCCAGATCTTCCCGGTTGAGATGATAATATGCAAATAAATGGTGCATGGTGCTGAAGTGTTTTACTCTCCTTCAAATCACTCCCCATCGGAGGATTTATATTACAGTGAGAGAAGATAATGTGCATCTGGCCAA